ACAGATGAACCACATCAATCCACACCCATCCCACACAGAAATAATTTACTCAATAAATAGATCTCTATGAAAATATTTTCATTCTTCAAAATCTTTTACAAACAAAATAAAACTAAAAAAGAAATATATGTTAAGTATGATAAAGAAATTTTGAATTTATATTTTAAAATGATCACAATGAAATATTATACAGGATTGGGTGATGGTGCGTTTTGATGATTTGTTTATTATTAAACCATTCACCTTTCACAGATCGGACAGAAAAAAATTGAAAGGATGATTTGATGGATATGTACTACGGATGCTGGCAACAAAGAGCAACTACATTTGTAAAAGAGAAATAGTAATGTCTTTTTGTATTTTTCTAATGATAGACATTCGTACATAAAATAGTTCAATGATTTCTATTTATTTCTCTGTATTGGCACACTGTATGAATATCTTAGATACTTTTCACTATCAGTGAAACTGGAAACTGATGTCTGAAAAGACAAAATATGAAAATACCGTCTCATTGTCATTAATTAGTTAAGACATAAGATAAATATACAGAGATATGTGTGCATTTAAATGAAAAGATTAGATTTTCACGGATAATTTTTACTGACTTATAATTTAATTGAAGGTGTACGAATAGTGAGATTTTCTATTTACTTGATATATTCTTTGTCTTAAAATGTGTGTATTAGAAAAGTCGTTTACATTCGTCGTCTGTATTTTCAAGTATGACAGGAAGACAGGCAAAAAAAAAGCAGTGGAAAATCTTTATACATATGCGTGTAAAGATCAAGGAAGTTATATTTTACTGGTGATAGAATCTTATATATGTATCACATGTTTTTGGGGAAAATTAGTATTAGAAAATTTTATAATTCGCTTGATGAAAAGTATATGAATTGTGTTAAAGTAAACTCTAAATCAAGTTTGCTTTTCAAAACTTAATGCTTCCTTCATATTAACAACATTGAGAACTTGAGAAAATATGCTTTTCTAAACAAAGAAATGCTAGTTTTCAATATGAAATCGATTGATAAATTAATAGATCTTCAAAGTTTTACCACTTTCCTTCTCTCACATATCAATTTAAAGAACAAAATAGTAGTAAAAGAATCTTTCCTTTACAAGCCAAAAAATATTCAGTAACACTAAGTTCATTGTTATTATAGCGAGACCATTTTTCCACTCTAAAGTAAAAAAATAACCTTCTTTATGAGTTTTCAGTTTTAATATCATTTCAGTGTCTACTCTTTCTCATTGCTATGACGTTGTATATGACTATAGAATACTAATTCAATCATATACGTAATTACCATTGAATCACTCCTAAGTTACGTTATTTTGCATTTCAAGAGTTATCTCGCTATTCATTCTCAATATGTCATCAAACAAATGTTTAATTTTATTCGTATGATGGAATTTGTTTTTCTATATTTGTTATCTGTCTGTTCCAAAATCATTTCTTCTAATGACTTCATTGAAATATTTATGAAAAACATGTATTCGCGCAATCTATTGGTCAACATTCTCATCGTTTTCTCATTTTTTTTGTTTTTGATACCATCAACATTTGATTAATGAAAGTCCAACAAAAGCAATTTATTATCATACATCATTCAATTGTACAACAATAGTCCCCAACGTATCGTATGACCATTTAATATGAGAAGACATATTAATTGTTTTTTCATTTTACAATTCACTGGTATGTTACTCTGGCGAGTCGATGCTACCATCAAACCGCACGTTTTCATCATTGTAACATGCATTCGCTCAGATTTGATCATTTACTCCTTGGTAAAAAGTTTTATTAAGTAACTTCTCGCATCAATGCATAGGGCACGAAATCTAGTCAGTCTTTGCACATTTCACATTTACATTTTTTTTGCTGCTTTACACACTGTAAGTAAGAACAGAGCGAATGTCGTGCACCACACAACGGCAAAAACCTACTTTTACAACTTTTTGTCAAGAGGTAAACGATCAACTCAGATCGAACACATGAGTGATCGCTAAATGTGTCAACCTTTTCCTTTCTATTATTGTATGTTGAAATTGTTATCTACTTGCGTTACTTTTAAAGTTAACATAATTTCAAATTGTTGATAAATTGTGTATTTTTAAAGAAAAAAGAAAGTTAGACAAATATTTGATATACTTACCAGTCATTTTATTAAACACTTGTTAAATAAAGTTCGATAAATTGGCGAAGATATAAGAGTAAAATTTTGATAGATTATTTTCTAAATACCTTGTTTATATGAATACACAGGTTCTTTATAGTATATAGATGCCATTTAAGTAGAGGATCATAAACGGTGAATTATTTTGAACAAAAGAGAGAGAAGATAGTAAATAAATGAAATTTTTACTTGAGCCTAACTTATTCGCTAGTTTGTTCGTTTATAAAAGCAAAAAATCTTGAAAAAGAAATATTATTTTCTTTTGAAATCTTAACGATTTCAATTACATAGTCTCTTTGATTACTCAAACTCATTATTATGTTGAATAAAAAAAACTAGGCAATAATAAAAAAAAATTTATTCTTTTCTTCTTCTTCTTCCGTTGATGACGATAAGACATTTGTTTTGTTGGTACTTTTTTCTATACTGAAAAATATTCCTGAGGCAAACTATGAAAAATCTTTGAAAGGTAAGCATAACATACGGTCTTGGCAACTGATGATCAGCATGCGAAAGAAATCAGTTTCAACTTATAATTGAGAACAAAAAAATAATATCTTCTTTTTCTAATATTCTCATTATTTATATAACTTAAAGCATTCATATATTTTCATTATTTTTAAGAAGAATGATAGGTCTTTCTTTCATTTTGACATTTTCCATATTGTAACGTAAACAAGACAATGTTGACAACCGTAGTCAAAGAAAGAACAATCATACTGAGTAGCAGCTGACGAAACGCATATTTTATTCAAAATTGAAAAAACATAAAAACTTGCGACCATCAAGGTAGGCATTCGTTTATGTACAATCAGAGCTGTCGCGAGGCGTTAAAGATTGGGGGGAGTCGAAAAATTTTTCGAAAATTTTCCAAAAACCTCTATAAATTACCGAAATTTTTAAAAAAATTTAGAGATTTATTGAAAATTTTCGAACATTTTTGTGAGTTTTTAACGATTTTTCGGAAACTTTTGCAAAATTTCTATAAATTATCGGAGTTTTTTCGAAAACTTCAGGAAATTTTCAAAAATTTTTTAATAAAATTCTTCCAAAATTTTTGGAAATCTCTTAATAATTCTTAAAAAATAGCGAGCAAAAAAAACAAAATTTCCCAAGATTGGGGGGTGACCTCCCCCGCTCCCCCCGGTCACGACAGCCCTGTGTACAATAGTATTAAATATTGTTCTATGTCAATTTCGCTTATGGTTATTTGTGCATGATATCGAATGCAACTGTACCATTGGATACACAAGATAGTTTCCATATCAATCAAACTTAATTCAAATTTTTCTCTTGATTTAAACCAAATAATGAGATGACTCATGAAACGATCTTAATATATTTGTTTTCATGTTTGCAGTTGTTTTGAAAAAAAAATAAACGAACAATTTTGAAAATATTTGATGCAAAATTCAGCATATTATTTAAAGTAATAAAAATGTTTAATTTTTGTATTCTAATCATAAGTACTATCTTGTTTTTGCAATACCGACGAACTCCCTAGTCTATTCTTTCAAATAAAAGGAAATGTATAGATTGGGTTGGATTATATATGTAATTATATAGGTTCATTAAGTGATCAGAGCTTTTGGAACATCCTTGATGTTTGAATACGGATCATGTTCATTAAATCGTCTAGAAAACCAAACAGAGACTAATCACTACGTTTTGGTTTTCAGTAGAAGTAGAACGAGAGAGAAAAACAATAGAAATGTTGAAAGGACTTGAGGGTGTGAGTGAGTGTAGCTCTCTTCTTCGTCTGCACACCCACACCTACACCCTTGAGAAAAGATGATTGTCAAATGTAAATCCTGTCCAGCCAATATACATACCTACTTCATCCTTCGTATGATTATAAGCTAATTTATAAAATGTGATGTGTCAGTCTATGTGTGTCACAACAACATCTAATAGAACATCATGTTAAAGATATTCAGTAAGAATTTGTCGTTCTTCATCGTCTGCATAAGCTTAATATCGACTGAAAAAAACCAAATGTATACCGTGATGAAATTGGAATGGCAACGTCAGAATGATAAGTAAATTCAAATAAAGCTTGTCATGAATAAAACTTAAAGATGATGATACTTCAACACAGCAACCTCGTAATTGACATTCCTGTTCATCCGTCTCATTTGTTGTACCACGATTTTAACGTTCTCCAATAGGTATTGCAGTATATTGAGCAGGAACAGATGGAGTATATTTTTTATTGACAATCCATAACCATTGAGTATCATTATCAAATTAAGGTCGGCGAATATCATTCACAATAGCATAACCACAATGAGATATTGCACCATAAGTACAATGAAGATCATCTCGAAGCTGATATCGACAACCTAATTCCAATTTTGAATCATTATTTCGATCTAATATTCGTAATGTCTCAAGAATATTGCCATCATCATATTCTTCTCAAGATATGGCATTCCAAACAACTGTTTCTCCTTTAGTAGCATTATGTAAAAATATTCCGAAGTAAGAAAATTAGTATCGATGCATAAATGAGTATCAGTACGAGTTACATTGAATGATGATTGGATTTGACAAGTTTGAACAATCTATGTTTTTCCATCAATGAATCCACGTAGAATAAAGTTACACAAAGAAGCAACCACACCACCATGATTGTCAAGAGATAACGTAATTCATTACCTTTGTGAAAATGTGATTGAAATTTCTTCTTCTCTTAACAAAAAAGAAGAGGACAGATCAAATAAACTATTCATTTTTTTTTCAATATAAATATGTGTTTCAATAATTTTATTTTCTACTAAAAAAAAACAAAGGAACAGAACAATAATTTGAATAAAATATTTATTCGAGATTTTCATCAATCCAAATAAAAAGTTCAGCTGCATCTCCATAAAGATCTTTCACACAAAATATAAACTTTAGTGTATCTGCTGCTTTTTCCAACGAATAACGAAAATAATTTCGATCAGATATTGATGATAAATAAACATACATCGTAGATAATTTTGATAGTCTACATAATAAAAATAGAATATATTGTGGTTGATTAATACTACATTTAAGTTGTTCAATATTTGAAAATATTCTACAAAACATCTTCATTTCATTAAGATTATCAAATAAAGAATGATCATGTTTGTACATATTTAATTTTTTAATCATTTTATTTAAATATTGACATAATTCATTATCAGAAAATAATAATATTAAATTGTTAATGATGATAATTGTGATGATTCTTTTAATATAATCAATAACTCTCCTGATAATATCAATCTTTGGTATTGAGAAATAGCTAAATGTTTTAAATTTGATAAATTAACAATCATTTTCAAATATTTTGATATGGAATAATCAATAATTTCTTGTTCTAAGATAACAATTTTTAATGAAATAAGATTTGAAAAACGATATAAACATTTATCTGTTATTTGTTCATGAAATAATGTTAGATTAGTTACTTTATCAAATATATTCGAAACATTTACTAATTCATTAGATGATTTTCTTGAATTGAATTCTAATTTGAAAATATTTGATAAATAAGGTATTGTATGAATATATAATAAAAATTTCTCAAATAATATTTGAGTATACCATTGATGTTGTTTAACCCAAAAATCAGTTTGAAATTGTTTAAAATTGAGCATAGCAAAATCTTTATATGTACGATGACAACCAAATTTAAATTTAAAAATATTTACGAAAGATAATGAAGATCTTATCAAAATTTCCCATTCATTGGCATCAAACATGCCTATATCATAATCAGCACTTATTGTTAAATTTTGTAAATTTGGTGTTTGTAGAACAAATTTTGCAAAATCTTCAAATCGATATTTAAATTGACCAATAATTAAGTGTTTCAGATGAACAGCATTATATCGATCAATAATTGTATTATTTTTTAATGATCGATTATATTTCGAAATACATTCAACATTGAGATATTTAAGTAGTGGAACATATTTAAATAATTGATATAACAACTGCTCTAAAGAACAATTTAAAATTGTTAAATGTGTAATAAGTGTTGATTGTTGAATATGTATTAGAAAAGATCGTAATGATATTATTGATAATTTTTGTATATTAGATATTGGAAGAGCAAATATGATTGCTTCTTCATCAACTTGAGGAGAAATTAGATGGAAAGTGTACAATTTTGAGCACAATGGTAAAATTGACTGTAATACAGGTACATTTTCCTCTTCAACATGACTTAGTGTTAATGAATGAATATTAGAATATTTATTGAATGAACAAATCGATAAAAATGTTTTGATTTGACCACATGTATCTTTGTTTGATAAATGTAATGATGAAATTTGTTGTATAATTTCTGGATCTAATGTTATTTGACGACAAAATTGAGAGAATTTTGCTTTACGAACATATTGAAAATTGATACGTAATGGAATATTTCGAATAAGTTTGTTCAAACGATCATTTAATTGATTAAATGAGTAAAATATATCCAAAACATCGAGATATTCAAAACATTCGATAAAAATCTCATTTGGTAATAATTCAAACTTCATGATGATAACTAATTCACTTATGGTAAAAAAAAATGTTCGTAGTCGTTTGTTCTACTACTGTACGAAACAAAGAAACGTGATGAATCATTTATGAAACATTCTCAAAAATAAATTATTTGAATCATCTGCAGATGTCCTTCGTATAGTGGCGTAACCAAGGTAGGGCCAGGGGAGGCTCAGCCCTACCACCGGGCTTTTGAGCCCTACCACCCAAATTTTAACGTTTATAAATTTAAATTTAATATTAATGAGATTCGACAAATATACATCCGTTCGAGTGTGATTCTTTTTTATGCTATAACTGTGCCGATAATCATACTCGTCCGCTCTGTCTCTCTCTGTTGATGTTTCATTATTATGCTCTACCTTTCTTTCATTCATCAACGGTCATATCTCTCTTCTTTGTGCACTTCTACATAACGATGTTATCTCACTTTGTACTCACTCCTATCAGTTAATTCTCTCGCCAACGTTGTATATTTTCTCCCGTCAACAATGTATATTTCTCTCTCATGACTGATGTATAAAAAGAGTGAACATTTATAAAATAAAGGCAGTTGCAGTCGCAGTCAGAACAAATTAACATTGATGAAATGAAATCGAATTCAAAACAAAACACAATTACATCTTTTTTTTCATCATCTGCAATGAAAAAACAAAAGATATCTAATGAACAATTCAACGTTTCAGTCACATCTACGGAAACAGAAGAAGTTGCTTCTTCCGAAGCATTGAATCTACTTCCCACAATTGATCCAAATGTTAGTGTAAATGTTGATTCAACAACCACGTACAAACAACCTGCATTAAAACTCTCATCAGATATTTGCTTATTACCATCATCATCATCATCAAGAACACAGTTAATAACACCATGTTTATTGGCTATTGATACTCGTATATCAGCAGTTGATTCACCATCATCAAATAATATTTGTTCTTCATCTTCCGAACCACCATCACAATCTGTTTCACCAGCCACATGTTTTACATCATTATCAGCATCACCAGCTTTAACACCTGTTGATACTCGTCGTTTATCTGTTTCACCAACATCATTATTATTGCCTATTGATGTTAGCCATACATTAACTGATCCACCAGCACAACCCATATTATCATCATATAAAACCAATCACGATAATCGTTCTTTCCAGAAACAATGGTTTATTAATAGACCTTGGCTTGAATACTCAGTTAAAAATGATAAAATTTATTGCTTTTATTGCAGACATTTTGGTTCAACAAATCCTTTAATTAGTCGAACCCAGAGCGATGCTTTCGCCAAGGGATATAATAATTGGAAAAATGCACTTGATAAAAAAAAAGGTTTACCACAACACGAGTCAAGCTTAGCACATGTAACAGCAACAGCTAATTATAATGAATATATTTTACGTGAAAAATCAAAATTAAATGTTGTTAATGTTGCTGATAAAGGACGAATGGAGCAAATTCGAAAAAATCGTGAACGTTTGGTTAAAATAGCATCCACAATTTTCTTATGTGGGCGTCAGATGATACCGTTGAGAGGACATTTCGAATATGAAGAGTCAGTTTAAAATTAATGTACCATATTACCCTGATATAGATTACTTTTTGATTTTTAGATCAAGTAATAGGGGGAATTTTGTGGAAATTCTTAAATGGTCTTATTCTACCGATTTAGTAGTTAAATCTATATTCGATGATTCAGCAAGTAATGCCACATATTTATCTCCATATATTCAAAACGAACTATTGCATTTAATGGCTGATCAAATGAGATATTATATTTCAGAAAAAGTAAATCAACAAAAACAATTCTTATCTTAAAAAAATATTTATTATTTTTGATCATATTTAGCTAAAAAATAAATTTTTTGCATTACTTGCTGACGAAAGTCGGGATTGTGCACGTCATGAACAAATGTCTATTGTTCTTCGTGTTCTTGATAATGAAAAAATGAAGCTCGGAAATTATGGCATTGAAGAATATTTTCTTGGTCTAATACCATTACATTCATTTGATGCTGTATCATTAGCAAATGCTATTGTTGATTTATTAAAAAAGTATAATATTGATTTAACATTATGCATAGCCATGTGTTTTGATGGGTAATTTTTTCTGATTTAGATCTGAATAAAAGAAATATTAAAATGGTTTTCTATTTTCTATTTATAGTGCCAGCGTGATGTCAGGTAAAAATGCAGGTCTACAAACAATTTTACGTGAACAGTTCATGCCCAAGGCAATATACATTCATTGTCATGTTCATCGTTTAAACCTTGTGATTGTTGATGTATGTCTATCACTTTCTTATGCCTGTGAATTTTATACAATTATCAAGAACATTCACAAGTACTTTAAAGCTTCAGGTGTAACAAATGAACGTTTTCGAGATGCTCAAAATCAATTAAAATTGAGTAAGAAATCATAGTAATATGACCTTGAACAATTTTTTTTATCCTTAGCTTACACAAATCTCAAACTATGGGCGAATATACGTTGGGATTCTCGATGGACATCACTTGATGCTATTTTAAATAATTATCAAGCCATTGTTTTGGCTCTCAATGATCTAATCCAAGAAGGTGGCGCACGTGCAGTGGATGCAAAAGGATTATTATTGGTCGTACAAGAGCCACTGTTTGTAGTGACCTTATTTGTTTTGCATAAGTTACTAGGACCTATAAAAATTTTATCTGATAAACTAAAAGCTACTAAACAATTTGCAAAACCACCAGCAGGACACGTCATTTCCTTTCGTTTTCATTTCTTAGCTGAAAATCTTGATTATGGTACAGCACAAGAATTAATCGTGTCAATACAAGAAGAATTATGCTTGTCACGAGATGAAAATATATTTGAACAATTATTCGGAAGAATAACTGCTTTTTGTCAACAAAATAATATTGATCTTAATGAGAAATCAAGACCACATCGAAAACAAACTGTCTCCACAAAACTCAAAAATCCAGTTGTAGAATCTACAATTGGTCAACGTGATTATGATCTTAATAAAGAATATTGTAAGTCAAATATTTATTTACAATTAATTAATAACATATTAGATGAATTACAAAAACGATTTTCATCGAACAATTTAAAGATTTTAATAAGTATATCATCATTATCTCCAAATAGTCCTACTTTTTTAAATTTTGATTCATTAAAATCATTTGCTGAGCATTTAGATCTCGATGTTCCTGCTTTATTAAATGAACTAATTGGTGTTAAACCTATGTTACAATTACAAAATAAACTATTAGCCAATATAATTGATTTATATCAAGCTTTATATCCATTTACAGAAGCCTTTCCAACACTTGTTACACTAATAAAAAGTGCCATAACTATGCCAGTGTCATCAACGACATGTGAAAGAACATTCTCAAAAATGAAAATGATTAAAACAACAATTAGAAACACAATGACTGATGATCGCTTGAGTGATATTTGTTTAATTGCTGTTGAACGTGATATTGAGCTCAATTTTGAGCAACTTATTGATACATTTGCAGATGCTCATAAAAATAGTCGGATTATGTTGAAATAAAAGTTGTCTTTTCTTTTTTATCTTCAGAATATTTTGTTTCAATATATGAATGAGCTCGTCACTCATCAGGATCAAACACCTTATTAATAGCCTTTCAAGCGTATTTTAATACTGTGCTGAAAAGTTTAATAATATCAGTCTCCATATATAAGAGAGTGAACACATATAGGATGTAATACATAGTGTGGGGGCTGAGGCCTACCACCCTTAAATTGCTGGTTACGCCGCTACCTTCGTATATAATATTTGCGGTTTTATTAATGTTAAAATTATCTAATCTGAGTGAATATAGTGATATGATTGTTTTCAAATGAGACAGACATATTATGAACTGATTATACGCACATGTGTTGGTATATTATACTTCATCTCTGTTATTAATAAGATATAGAATTTTTCTGGACGTGCTCATGTATTATTTAGATTTAAACAAGCTCTTCGTCTTCTATGCGAACAGTTTATTTTTAAATAAATAATTAAGTTTTTTCGTATTCGTTCAACTTTTTCTTTATACATTTGAGAATCCGGATGATTTACAGGTAATGAATGGTGTCCAATACCTAAAGTACATTCATAAACGAAAATGCTTTCGAGTGCTCTCTCTCATACTGTCATATATCGAACCAATGTTGTTCTAAGACAAAGCCAAACTTGGATGATTTGAACGAACAGTTTGTTTTGGTAGCTTCCAAATACTTTTTCAAGCAATGAAGGTGCTTTCCAGTGGTCGTCTATTTTAAAATACACCAAACCGATGTTGTTGTAAGAAGACGTCACATCAGAATGATTTGAAAGAAGAGTTTTCTGACGATTTTGCAAGTGCTGTTTTATGAGATGATAGTACTTGTAAATTATCATCCATCGTCTCATGCACTATACCAATGCTGTCGTGAGACGCAACTAAGTCAAGATGAGTTGGAGAGAAATCCCCCGGTCAAACATCAATGTCGAAAACAAGCATAGCCACTCGAGAAAATTTAAGAATCTTGCGTGTTCTTGCAGGATATTTTTGATTTCCTCAAATTTTGCGCACACACATGCAAGTTTCTTTAAAAATATCTGAATTTTGTGTGTAAACGCAAGGCTATGGCACTAGCATAGACATGTGTACCAGAATTACATGCATGCGAACACAGGTTTAAAAGCTTTCTAACAAAACACATGTAAACGTAGCAGTTTTACCTGCGTGTACAAGCACTTTTTGAGTATAATCTTGTCAAATTTTATGTGTAGATGCACGAAAAAAAATGTATCTTCAGACTCATGTGAGCAGATGCAATATGTGACAAAAATAGTTCTTCAGTTTTTATTCTGGCACACTTCAGAAAAATGTATAATCTGAAAAGTTTTTATGGGCCACGCCTATTTGTGCACGCTTTTTCACCATTTTCGAAAGAAGTGCATACAGATGTATGTACTTTACTGTGTGAACAACCCATATTTAGAGTTTAATGCAGCTCATGTATGCATAACATCCTTCATTTTAGTTTTATTAGTGAATTAAAAAACTGCAAAGTTATGTCATGACGATTCGACAAGATTAGGAAAACGAAAAAACAAAATATTAGAGTTGTTATTTTTATAAGCATATGCTAGTTTGTCATTCAAATCACGTTAACTAAGCGATAAAAAATTGTTTCGTTCAGAAAAGCTAAAAAGAGCATTACGACATGTATAAGTTTTCGCCCATATGGAGAATGTGAGTTTTTTCGATAACAACAGGTAGAATAAAAAATAAAACTCGATCATTTTCATCTAGAATACCCATTAAAATAGATTCAATGTGTTGTTGGCCATTTTTGATGAATAAAACACAAGACTAATCTCTCTTGTTCTTTATCAATGTATGACTAGTAACGAATGTTGCCAACTGAAACAGAACTAAAGAATTGTGGTTCACTTATACAAGGTTACCAAAAATATTTTTCCCGAGAGGGTAACACTAATTTCAAATAGTATACATAACTAATTTTATTCCAAGGTGTGGGTATGGGGTGTGGGTAGTGAATTGCTTCTAACCACACCCGCACCCTTTTTTGTATTTTCTTCTTGTCATGAATGTGCCATCAAGATATAAAATTAAGATTTTACTATATTTTGTTGTACTTATAAAATAAGTGATGATATAGAGTGTATTGCTGGTATTTGAGTATAATAAACAATAAATTAGGTCTAATGTAAATAATAATAATATTTGCTTTGATCAACGACAGAGATTCACCCAAAGAAAAAAAAGTAGGAGCCCTAGGTATAGATCCCTGTATTCCACCTCAGGACAAATTTCTTACATTGAGATTTTAAAACAAACGTTCTAGTACAGTTTTACCATAGCAATCCACTTTTTTCAAAACTGAAAGGGTCCAAACCTTCTTATCTACCTGTCAGTACATTCCTGATCAACGATTGCCAGATCAAGGACTCTCGTGATCAGCTCTCTGTCGCTCGAAAAAAATAGAATGAATTAGCAAAACAACCTAGGAGAAAGTTTTCATGTATTATCCTATCACCTCCCAGGACAGAGCTGGCTAGCAGGACAGGATGAAAAATCTTCTCCTGTGCTCATCTCTGTTTCAAATCAACTTGATAAGAAAAATAACATTGTAAAGTATCATTAATATACTCACTAACATAGTAAAATGTCGATAGAAGTTTATGTGCAGAAAAATAGCTGAACAATATATGTAATAATTCCACCGGTAATTGATCAAAAAAACAATAATGTGACATATTCATAAACTTGTTAACAGACACCAAAATGATTTCTACAAAATAAAATGTGAAAAGTCATCAAAACAAACCTCTAACAGTGCACATAGAAGTATGTCATGTAAGCACATTTGATAGCTTAGTTGATGCCTAAACTCGATATTCTTACTCTTTAGTATCAATTGTACAGTGACACTATTATATTTTTCAAGCGTTTAAAGTTTAAATGCCTGTTGCAAAAAAATATTTAATAATAAAAGTCAACATTAACTTATTGTTTATTTCTACAGAATAAAGAGTTTTATTTTTAGTACATGTAATCTTTGAATAGTTTGATAATAAATGCAAGTAAAATCATCGACGGACGAATAACTATCACGAATACAATAATGTCTATAGCAAACATAACGTCAGGATTGTAGTTTCCGACAAAATTGATTCATATAGAGAAAAACTTGTATAAAACACTAGAGATAAAAGTATTCATTAGAAAGACATGAAAAATACAATTAAAATTATAGGAAGATCTGTTCAACATGATTATGAAAATTAGAAGTATTAGATGCCCTATGAAAAAAAAGAAAAACAGATCTGATTAATAGCAAATTATTATCTAAGATAGATGGCAAAATGTATTTAAATCGAGATGAACAATATCCTTGTCTTGATAAGCAATATTTTCTCTACAAATATGTTGATGATTAAATACAAGAAATAATGAATAAAAATTTTATTTTATGAAAACGACTTACATGTTCTCCAATTCATCAGTCAATATCATATGATAAATGACCAATAGATGAATGATTGTATTTATATTTTGATAAAAATACGATTCATGATTAATAAATGAAGGAAAAGTATATAAAGATATATTTGATAAATGTTAAAATTCATCAATAAAACAAATCATGATTTCTTTTGACTCGATAGGGCACTGGTATATAAAATATTTTGATACGTGAAAGGATATGAAATAATCCTTCGATAGTATAATCATTGAATACGTTACTAATACTTATCAATTGTTACATTGATTCTGACAATTAATATCAATAGTTGAGACATTATACATTTCCATGATATAAATATTAATAGATTATCTAATGAAAATATAATTAAGTGCTCGACTTGATTCAAATCAATAGCTGACAGAAGTGTTTCGATTGCTGTTAGAAATTCAAGTATCAATGTTTTGATGTGAGTGAGACAATAGTTATTATTAATGTAAAGTGTATTCACTGTAAATTTATTTAAATACTTAAATATGATAGAATAATTAAGTGCTGCTGAATGAATATCTGATAGGTTAAGTGAATTAATTTGAATGGGAATTGATTCGAGAGCATGACTGACGTGAACAAGTGATACGTTGAATATAAAACTAAACATGAGAAGAGAAATTATCAGTATTTGCCATTAATATCTATTAGTAATATTATTCAGAGCATTTGCTTTCAATTCTACATGCTTCAAATGAGACAAATTGGAGAATAGTTGTACCATCTCAATCATTGAAATGTGATAATCTATAGATCATTAAAGAAAAAGAAAATCTTTTTGTTTAGTTCAAGAGAATATAGCGGTTATAAAGGTCACACATTGCTCTCTTTATTACATGTTTTCTCCGAGATGAGATGTTGGATAGAGCTGAAAGTATGTAGGAACACCTTAAGCGCTTGCCTTGTTTGGTTGCTTTCGATTTCCTATACATTCAGAGAAAAAGTTAAGATATATATATAGGTTCGTTCTTTTCCACTATCTATTTGTTTTTGGTAAAAGATGTGTCAGGTCGAAACAGTGACAAAATTAATATATATATATATAGTTTTTATATAAATTTATTTAAAAATAAAAAATTCTTTGATATTTTGTTAAGATCAAATGAATTCATTTCAAGTAATCGAACATTTTTTCTAAAATAAAAATGAAGAAAAAAGAATTTTTTTAAGGAAAGTAATGAATAAGTTAGAATTCTAATGATTTGTCAAAGAGAAGACTTTGAAGAATATAGATAAATAGATAATAATCAGACTTAAAACGTTAAATAAATCAAATGTTTTTAATAAAATTTGAAGAATTCTTCTTTTTTTTTTCTTAGAAAAGATTATCCAATGAAATGGAATTTACTTGAAAAAGATTCTAATGATTATTTTTGAAATATATTCAAAAACTTGATAAAACTTCGTCATTCAAATTGATCTCTTCGAGAAGAAATTGATGGTTTTTTTAATCTAAAGATCATCAAAATAGAATTTAGATTATTCTCGTTGTTTTATACGAAATATTTTTGT